AGCAGATGCATCTTGCTCGGTATGCGCTGGGAAGCAGTCCTCTGAAAGGAGACCTGATGTGACAAAACCTGTGTAAGCTTGATCTGGTTTTAGAAGACTTCTAAGACATCTAAAAGGTGAGATCTTGGCCTTTACGAAGTTAGTAGGTTAGTAGCGGAGCTCCCATCGCCTCTGCTGGAATTAGTGTTTCATTAAATATGCAGAAATTGCGGTACGTGGCAGTAAAGGGTTGTCTCTCTGCAGACGTGTGCCTAGTGCTTGGTAGTGCTGCATAACAGATTCTAAGCAACTGAATGGTGTGATGTGTTCATATAGAAGTATTCCGGATAAAAACAGCTGGATATGTTGTCCTAGACTGCTTTTACTATTAGACCAGTATATTCAGAATAAATCCTCTTGCCCTCTGACTTTTGAAATTTTATGGGGGAACTTGAAATTCCATAGCATTCTTATCAAAATGCTTAAAAGCCATGAAGCATTCCTGTTTATACCAGGCTTTGTAAGTGCTTATTCTTCTCTTTTTTTTTCTTCCCTTTGTAATATAAAACCTAAATTATGTTGGTGAAGATTATAGGTACTTCCCTCTGAAGAAATTGATACTTTAAAGTGAGGGAGCAGTGTTTCAAAGGTCAAATAAGGTCTTTTCATTTTTTTCCTTAGACATGTTATTTAGAGGGGGTCTTCCTATGTTGATGCCTTGACTTACTTATCACAAGCCAGACCAGCAACCTGCTGCTTTTTCGTGAGGCCTGATAGGCTTTCTTGTGCTGTTCTGTGCCCAAATCCCAATAATGTGAGCGAGCGTTTCAGGAGAATGGTTGGTGGCTCCTGGCGAGGCAGTCTGGTCCTTGCTGAAGGTTTGGCCCGGAGAGGAGTTAGAACCGTGATCGGTCTTCAGGTGTTCTGGTGGCCTTGCTATTATTGCTGGCTGATCTAATGGAACGGGTATGCGTATTATTTGCACCCCTCCGGGTGACATTGTTCTTGTTTTCGGTTAAAAGAAGGAAGTTTTTCTTGTTTGCCCAGTGACTCTGTCCTTCTGGTATGAAGATGAGTAATGTTGGCGCCGCTCCATGCACCTGCTCAGTGCCACCCTCTAAGATCACCTGAGCCACCTCAGCAGATCGAGGCAAGCAGGGACGGGGCGGTTGAATCAAAGCTGGGGAAGTGTTTATGGTTGGAGCCCGAAACCCACTTTTGGTTAGGAGCTGGTGCTAAAACGCTATCACACGCTGGGATTCATTGTGTGCTGCCTTGCAGGTTTGGGTGTTGGCGCCAGACGTTGGGAACTTTTATTCTCAAGGACTGTCTTAGTGTGTATTCTCTCCCTTCCTCCTCCTTGGGTAGGGCTGAAATGAAGAACATTCAGTGATAACCTGCACTATTCATTAAATAATTCTGGACCTCACCCTTGTGTGTCTGGTGCTCCTAGCCACTTCAAAGTGAGTGTGTGTGCAGAACAACCATGTTCCCAGTGGTCTTATAGTCACTCATGTTAAGAGAATTTTGCAGGATCGGGCAATCAGCCTGCTGGGTTTTGCAGAAGCCATGTAGCAAAGGCATATTTCTATTAAACACTGGGTGACTCAGCATGGGAGCTGGTCTCTGTGATCGCCCAGGGACTTCACAGCCAGTCCTTTCTACGTTATCTCTGTTTTGTGTTCCCCTCTTCTATTACAGTGTGCAGGTATGTCTGAAGATAACTCTGCACCTAAAAAAACAACACTTCATCTGAGTGATAGCATCCCATCGCCTGTTGCCAGCCTGGATGAGCAATGTCACATGCACATCCTTTAAGAAAAGCACAGAATTACTTAGTGAAACTTACTGCTTGCATGTGAAGCCTGACAGTGTCACTGGATTGTTTTGTGTGTGACACAAAATTTAGTAGTAAAACTGAAAGTGCTTAACTGTACTGCAGCCTTTTTGAGGTGGTGAACCTGTTCCCATCCCACCTGATGCGTAAGCTAATTAGCTTCTTGGCTAAGCAGTAATTCTGGGCAAGTATGTACAGGCTGTCCTCACAGGGACTCTTGCATTCCTCTTAGTTTCACAAGCTAAAGAAAGATGCTTCTCTTTGCTTGTGAGGTTATTATTGCTCCATGCAGGTTAATTGAGCTATAGCATTATAGCCACTCATCAAACAGTGGTGAGTAGCTCACTTGTCTAAGCTTGTTTATTTTTATAATGCTGAAAAATATTTGCATGCTGTACAGAAATGTGCTGCTTTGGTTCCTTACAGCCTGGCAGTATTATCATTTGAAATTCTTCATTAATCTTTCTTCCTCACGAGGGACTGGCAAGGTTCCTGTGCATAATTACACAATGTTTAAGACAGAAGCCTCACCTACTGAGTTTTTGCACAGTGCCCTGCAAATATCAGTCTTTTCTTCCTTAAATAGCACCTATGCTACCTCCCCTTTTATGCCCATTCTTGATTTCAGCATGGTTACGTGCAATGCTATTTGCAATCCTGCGTTCATTCTACCAGTTCTAGGCTCTGACGTTTCGCTCAAGAACACACAACTGTAAAGTGACCAGACTAGAAGTTAGAATAAGGTAGTAAGATGACAGAGCTACAGTGCTCAGGAACAAACTGTAAAATGGGTTCAGCCTGAGAAATCCACCTCGCAGTGCTTCCATGGAACAGAATTGGTCTAAAACAGAGTTTTCCACTTGAAAAGCAAGGCGTTTCTAGGCTTTGTGGTTATGAAGAGTGCACCATCCGATCCATAAGCAAGTACAGTTTTGCAGAGTTGTTGAATGTCTGAATTCAGCCATATCCATCGTAATAGATTCGGGCTTAAACCCCCAAATATGTCTGTTTAAAATGTCTACAGAACCTTTTCCAATTTCCTTCCAGCTCTATCATAACAACTTTTGCAGCGCACCTCACTAATTTTCATCTTTGGCACACTGAAAACTGAAATTGCTGGAAGAGCCTAAAACAAATACAATTTGGTGTCCAAATAAATAACACATGGGCTTCAGTACCGATTGTACTGTTCATTTTTGTGTTTCATTACATAAAAAAAGTTAACTCGCTGGTTCTGCCATGAGTTTCCAGCTTGCTCAGAAAGCAGATTCCAGGAATGCTGCCACCCAAATTAGTTGCACAAGATTTTCTTTGTTAATTGAAAATAATGGCATAAAACTGGAAAAAAATAAGCATAATGCAAACAGTTGGTATTTAAAGAAAGTGGATTTGTTGGCCAGAATATCTTCATATTGTATCTCAGTCCACCTTTTGTTTTTGATTTCCAGGCTGATTCCTAGTTTACATCTACATTAAAATTAGTAGTATTCAGTTCCAGCAAATACTTTAACTGTGAACTGTGCCCTCCCTTCATCAGATCAGCAGAATAAGCTTATATTGCTGTGAAGTGAAACTCCGCGTGTGAAATGGTTGCATACAGAATTACTTCCTTGAACGTTTGAAGGAGTTAAACACGCACAGATTGAAATTGTCTGTTGAGAAAATCTTTAAGGCAGAGAGGCAGAATCTCAAGCTGGGTTGTATCTTTGTATTAAAAAAATAAACAACACCCCCTACCCCCCCTTAGATTTTTCCAGTTGAGACAAAAGAAATCTTTGGGTGGAAAGGCAGCATCATATTGCATAATAAAAGCCTTTTAATGCTCTACTAAAAAGGGTTGCTTAGGGCAACTTTGTTTTAAAAAAAAAAAAAGTCAGTGATGATACTGGTATGAGGGGGACAAGGAATCCTCAACTTCTGTTGTGCAACACTGGGAAAAGAGGCTAGAAATTGCTGTAGTTATCTGCTATCTTAATGCCTGGTTTAAAGGTTCTTTACTGCATATTTGCTGGCAGCTGTTTTCAATATATCCCTCTCGAGCTAAGTCACCAGTTAAGAATTTGACATTAGATGTTTTTTCCAACCACCATCTTGAAGTACCATACCACACAACACAGCCTTGTTCTCTAGTTAGATATTGTTCATGTGCCTTGAAATTGCTGTTGACACCTCAAGTATTTAACTTGCAGATCTGAGATAATTTTTGTTGGGTGTGGATGTGTGCCATAATAAGACAGAGACAGAAGTATCCACGTCTGCATTCCTTCACTACATCTGTTCACTTTATTTTTTTTTGCAACATTGCAGGAAATTAAGTTAAACTATACATCTCCATGAATATTTTTTAATTTTACTTGTTCTGTTTTAATTCCCTGCCCTGTTAAGTACAAGCACACTGAGTGTACAAGTAAGTTTCACTTCTTCTGTGTCGTTTGCCCCTTTCTTTAGGACACTTTCAGTAGTAGATTCAGCTACCTCTTGAATAACACGCCTAAATACATATTTTTGTGTGTTCTCTTGATTCTCCCCTCAATGGTTAAAGTTTCTTTAGTGCTTTATATTCTGAAAGGGAAAAGTAACGTAATTAAAGAATGTTTTGGGAATTAGAGCTGTGCTCTGCAATATGTTTTTGGCATATACTTTGTCAGTGTCCTTTTCTTCCCCTCACTTTCCCAGCCTCTGAAATAAAGCTAATATTTGTACGCTGATCATTCCCATAGTCATTTTTGAGGCATAATTTGTTGAAGTTTATAAAGCATTTGACCATATCACCTTTCATCAAAGGATTTCTGCTGATATAGTTTGAAATACACAGCACCACTGGAAAAGGAGCCATAAGCACAGGGTATCATCATCTGTGCTGCAGCTTTCATTCTTAGTAAAAAATAAAACAATGGAGTTAAAGAATTAGCAGGTTTTAATCACTGTTTCACTTGGAGGCACAGATGGGACAGAGCATTACTTGGCAACATTTAATCTTGGAGCAGAAATTGTCATGATTAAAGCAGCAGCTGGAGGAGATTGCTAGGGACAGGGGGGTTCATTCATCCTAAAGGGATCAAAATTGTTGGGCTCTGGGAGAAAACAAGAAGCTACAAAAGAAAAATCTGAAATACGGGCCAAGGTTTGTTATTTCTAGGGTCTCATCTGCTGATTAAAATGATGTTTTCAATGCTTTCCTCAGAATTATTTTGGAAGCGAGGAGAGTATCAAGTGATCTGGCCTACTGAAGAGGAGACTGAAGCCATCTCTGAGTGGAGATTTTGGACTTGCGGGAAGGCTCTGTGTGTGTCCCACATGTGGCAGAACTGCTCCTCCTTACCAAGGAACTCAAAGTGAAGGAAATAGGTATGTGCTACTTCAAATAGGCTCGCAGAAGAATCATGTTCCAGGCCATTTAACATGGCCTGAATTCCTAGTTTGGTGAGGCAGCCTGGAATGAGGTGGATTTTAACTTTCTCTCCATTAAGGTTTGCAGGAAGGTTCTGTCTGCCTGGTACCTCCAGGCCTTGTGTTACGGGGTAGACTCCTGCGGTAAGATGGCCTGAGGGAGGAAACTGGGTGGTTGTGGAAACACAGAACAAAGCAGACCCTTCAGGTCTCCTGACTCCTGCAGTCAGTCTGTGGTTCTGCCATGGAACAAACTGTTGGGAATAAGTTACCTTTTGCTAAGGGACGGTGTTATACAGTAAAAAGGTGTCAAAATAGCCTGCTAGAATACCAACGTGTGTTCTGCTGTCAGGGCCAAGCCACAGTTTAGCCTACAAGTAAAGCCTACTCTATTCTGAACTGTTCTATCTCAAAAGTAGCTCTGCTTTTAGTTAAGTGTCTCAAAGGTATCATTAATTTTGGATATTTCAACTCCTGCAAGGCCAATGGGCTTGAGTTTCCATGACAAATTCCTGAGTCCACTGGGAGATTGAGTGAAGTGTAATCACTGTTGGTCACTGACTTAATCTGTATTTAGGATGTGCTTGACATTGGCTCTTTGTGTTTCTCTCATTGGTACACAGTGTTTTTTCCTGCCACTCAGAGGTCTTTTTCTGTTCCTTAGATCAGACAACTCTTTTTCCTCCTGCATTTGCATGCCTTCAGCTGATGATATTTAGATGTGTGAAGATTTGGTTGCCTTTGTATAGCAGGAAGTTAAAAGAGTCCTCACTTGCACCAGTACATAGTGTTTTCTGCAGCAGGGAGACTAGGTGCTGATCTCACTCTGGGTATTTCATAACTCTAAAAACCTGCTGGCTAACGAGGTATTCATTAATTGCTTTAAGCGATCTAAGCTAAGAGATTTCTTTACTTCCTTTGAACCATAGAGTATCTTAATGGGCATCTTTTTTTTTCTCCCCTAAAACTGACAAATTGCTGATTTCACCCTTTAGTCCTTGTCTGCCTGCAAATATGGGAAATGTATTTCACTGTTGGTAGCCCTAAGTGTAAAGCAAACAGGTCTTAGGCATTTTTACCATCGTCCTGTGAATTATAGGCCTCCTTTCCGCCTGAAAGCAGCCTTGCTGTCTGAGGTATTCGGCATGCATCCCTACAGCTTGCAGTCGATTGATATTCCTATAAATTTGCAAGTCACCTTTCATCACCTTGCGAGGCTTTGCCCCCTGGCATGCAAGTCCTTCTTAGGTCAAGGGCCTTAATGACCCCCATTGTTATGGGAACCTTTGGTAATCTAACCTGTTTTTTTTCTGTATTTCAAGCCATTGCTCTTAAATGTCTTTTGCTTGATCCACTCAGGCGCTAATAACCGTGTCTCCTTTCCTTAGGTCAAGGGCAGCTTTTACATTCCACCCAAAAGGCACCACAGTTTGAGATGAGGAATTCAGAAGAGCAAGCAGCTACGACAGTTTTACAGCGCCTGCTGCAGGAGCAGCTCCGATACGGAAACCCAAATGACAACCGTAACCTTCTTGCCTTACACCAGCAAGCCACAGGAAATGCCCCCCCTTTCAACAGCACTGGGAGTCCAGCATCTCAGAACGAAGGGCTGAGCTCCCAGGACCACCAGCTTGTGACTCATGCTGCCCGTCAGGAGCCCCAGGGCCAGGAGATACAGGTGGACAACAGCATCATGGAGAAGCAGCTCTCCCCGCGACTTCAGAACAGCGAGGATCTCCCGACCTATGAGGAAGCCAAAGTCCAGTCGCAGTATTTCAGGGGCCAGCCGCATGCGAGTGTCGGGGCAGCGTTCTATGTAACGGGGGTCACCAACCAAAAGATGAGGACTGAAGGGCGGCCCACGGTTCAGCGGGTGAGCCCAGGGAAGGTCCACCAGGATGAAGGACTGAAGGACCTCAAGCAAGGGCATGTCCGCTCCCTGAGCGAGAGGCTGATGCAGCTGTCCTTGGCCACCAGCGGTGTCAAGGCCCACGCGCCTGTCACGAGCGCGCCACTCTCCCCCCTCTCTCCGCTCTCTCCTCAGCAGTCCAGCGACCCTTACAAAAATTCTGGCTCCAATGAGTTCTACAAGAACTCGGTGCAGCCCCCTTCCCAGCCCAACATGAAAGGAATGGAGCAGCGGGGTCCTCCTCCAGAGTATCCTTACAAAAACGTGTCCACCCCATCTATGAACTGCAAACCTCAGGACTCGGGACATTTCTATAGTGATCATCGCATGAGCCAGCAGGGAAGATCTGATGGGGCTATGATGAGGTATCAGCATCCCCCTGAGTACGGGTCAGTCAGGTAAGCGAGATCTTCAAACAACCTCCATGACAGTCACATAAGGGAAGACAGTATAAAACTCTGTCCATTGTCCTCACTCCTGAGGCACGTTTTCTTTCTGCAAAGATCCCATCTTTATTAAGTGAGATGACATACTGTGTTCAGCTACTGACTGTGTCTGGAAGGACTGTAACCTGTTTCAGTAGCTTTCCTAGAGAGGCCTGAATCTTTTTTAAAAAAACCTACAAACAAACAAAAAAACCCACCAAAAAACCAAAACCCAAATAAGCCAGCTTGATTTTTTTTTTTTTATGGCATGGGGAAGTTTAATGCTGAGGCTCCAGAGCCTTACAAAAGGTTTGCTGCAAAAGCCAAAGTTACGGGGTGATTCATTGTAGAAACTTGCAGTTACTTATTGCAAGACTTAAGCTGCTCTTTAATTACATGTGGCCAGACAAAAGATTTTTTTAGACTGTATCTAAATGCTAAGTAGAAAAGGAGAAAATAAATGAAAGCAACAATGGTGCAGGTAACAAAAATCACCTGAACTTCCTTTAGAGTTTTTCAAATTTTATTTTCAGTGGACCAAAGTATAGAAGTGGAAAATGGAGTGTGCTTTGTGGCTCATCCCAGAGCTGCTTGTTTAGCTTTTGCTAATTTTCCTTGCATCATTTGGAATCTCAGCCTGTTCTGGTTTCCTCTAGATAAGGAGCTAGATTTGGCTTGAGCCAAACACTGATGTCCGTGTGGGTGAAGTTGAAGTTTTATTCAGGTGGGCTGAAAATACAGCTTTACTTTACCTGTATCCTTACCATCTCATCTCTGTCCAAGACGAGGTGGGATTTGGTATAATAATTTTGGCCCCATTTTGAAGCTAAAAGGGTAATACAGAGGAGCCAACAGGAGGGTGTTGCTACATAAGTAAATGGTGAGGTCTCTGTGCATTTGTGTTTGCACATATTGTGTTGTGGTTTGAGGGGAGCATGAAGAAGAAACCGTTCTGTATTTGGGAACAGAGTCTGAGCTTTGGGGAATTTGAATCTGCTCAGAACCTTCCTAGTCCTATGGGGAGCTATTTTCAGAGTTTGTCCACCATTGTTTGTGATCTGAAATGACTTCAGCAGCATACAAGCCTGATGAAAAGGCCCTTTGATCTGGCTAAATAAATAATAAAGAGGCCAGGAAAAGGGGAAGTAAAGGGTTTAGGGGGGGTAATGATTGTAGAAGTTCGTTGCAAATGTATTTGACAATTCAAAGGCTTCAAATCTCTGTGCACACAGGAAAGGGAAACAGATCCTTGATGGTTATGCTGCATCAGAAATACTCAATATTATATGTAGTGAATCTGAGACGTAGCCTGCTTGCTGTTTAAGGGAGAGGTATTTGAAAACACGCCAACAGTCAGCTCCTCTAGACAGGGTGATTTTTGTCTGTATTGGATGGATCCTGGCTGCTTTGAAAGAACATGGCGGGGGGAAGGGGGGGGGG